ACACGTCCTCAACCAATAAACCTTCCGAGACCTTTCTGCGAGAGTTCAGAACACGAATACAAATGTCTTGGCCAGATTTAGCTCAAGTAATTATATCCTGCCTCCCTCAACTCCCTTCCAGTTTCAGGTGCATGTGGGATGCATCACTTCCAGGTCTAAACTATGAGCAATGGCATTTGCATTAAACCATCTTGCTCCTTTCCCATCCCAAAGCAGTGCCATTTCCTTGATGGATTTTTTTGGTGTTGATTTTCTCATAAAGTGCTGCTTAGTTGGCTGTCTTTTAATCTTTGCCCCCAAAGGCAATTTCGAGGTGTCTCCTCTTTATTTCTCTTCCTTGTTTTTGGCTCTTTTATCCTCCTGAGGGGTTTTATTGCTTTACCATACTAAGTAATTTTCCTGCAGTGATCCTTTTGGCACGTTTTTTTCATAGTGTTACAGAAATATTTTCTAGTAGAACTGTAGTAATTTCTAGAATTCCCCAAACCCTTTGATTCCGTGGGAAGCTGATCCTCATTATTTTTCTTAATGGGAACTGCTAAGTTGCTCATAAATTGCTTCACGTGGGTGATCACCTCGAGCTTCAGAGAAGGGCTGTGATGGTTCCTGAGTCTCACTGATTCATCCCTGATCACGAGGAAATTATTCAATTGTTTTGAAGCTCCATTTTTCTCCCTGTCTAAAGAAGGGATAATGTGATTTATCTGGCTTTACTGGGAGCGTTCACACTTAATCATTTGGTGTCACCAAGTTGGAGCTCTCTGGGCTAAAGGTTCCACATCAGCAAGTGTCAAACGTGAATCATAACCTTTGTTTTCCATCAGCACTGCTGTGATGATAACAATCAGTGTTTATAGGACAAATTATTATTTCCAGACATCACATCATTGTGATTTAGTTCATTTTCTCTGGGTGGGGGAAGGCAGCAGGCCTGAGGTGACCCAAGTAAAATGCCAGGTAATTTAACCCTAAATGCTGCTAAATCCCTGGGAAACTTGCTGAAAGCAGAGCATTTTTCCCTTTGATTTCCTCTCCTGGCTGAGGTGGGGCATGACCTGCTCTGGGATGATTGACAAGGAGGTGGGATGACATGGGAGATAACCCTGAGTCAGCAAGAGGAAAGGTCAGTCCTCTTCCTTATTTATTCCACCTGCCCCAGGTAAGGAGCTCCATCCCCAGGCTCCATTCCCAGATCCTGCCTTTCCCAGAGGATAATTGGAGCACAGCCCTCGGTGGCCTTGCAGTGACATCACCCTGAGGAGCAAGGACAGCTGGGGTGACATACCTTTGTCCTCACTGTTCCTCACTTTCCCCTGGAGCCTTTCCCTGCTCCCACGTGCTCTCCCATGGGATTTGCCATCCGTGTGATTACACTGCTCCTCACATCCCAAATGCCTGGCATTAGGACCTTATTAAACCATTACCTGGCCGATGGATGGATCCCTTCAAAAGCCATCCTAATGGCTGTGGCTTCTTTATTGCCAGACTTCCTTTAACCAGGGAAAATCCATGCCCAGATCTCTCTCCAGATAAACATCCTTCCCAGACATCCCAGCTGCAAAATCCGTAGCAGGTTTTTGTGACAAAATATATTTTCCTACTCGTTTAAAGCAGAATTAAGATTAGAATTGAAGAGGAAGAATTTAGTCCTGTGGCTGAGCTGAGCAGTGGTTTGTTTCCCTCACAAAATGAGCCTCTTTGAATGCTCTGTTTGCTACATTTCTGTGACAAATGTGCCCCTGCCCTGACCTAAAGGAATCATTTCCAGTGCTGACAGGAGAAATCAAGCTTCAGAGATAAAATATTGCCTTTATAGAGCTTACTAAGCAACACAGAGCAGCTGCTAAACTCAGCCTGAGCTGTAAATCCTCCTCCTGGTCTGTTTTTTTTTTCCTTTCTGCCCACTGAATGCCACCAGAATTCTTGGATCAGAGTCCAGAAACACATCCAGCCTTTTTTCCAGCCGGGCTGTGATCAGTCCAGGTGTAGATAAACAGAGTTCCCTCTGATGCAAGGTTTTGGAGAGGCTGCAGCCTTGCAGGAAGACACAGCTTTGGAGAAGAAGAGAGCAGGTTTTGGAACTATTTTTGGAACTGTTGGTACAAATGATGCTTAGAATTTGCCAGCACAGTCTCTGGGCAATTTACTAATAAATACATATCAGAAATAATATCAGAAATAAGAGCAAGGCAACCTGATTTTCTGTGGCACACAGAACAACAGGATGATGTCCCATCTCACAGTTTACATGGAATATTCATGGCAGTGTATCCCAGAGGGTTTTCTCCTGAGGGATGCTCAGGGCATGTTCTGAACTCTGTGACACTTCAAAGAGAATCTCTTTTGTTCATCCCAACAGCTGCTGATCCCTCAAGTCAAAGTCAACATTTTTAGTGGGATAGAACAGGAAGCTGATGTTTGCTGCCAAAAGCTGCTGGAAGACTCCTGACAAAAATGCCAGGGATGAGGAGGAAAACCAGAGTATTTGATGTTAAGACCCTTTGCAAAATTAATACAAAATGCATCACTTGCATTGTAGGCCTGTCAGTGAGGAGTGAATGAATTCTCTCCAAGAGAAAACAGAATTCCAGAAAAAATCTCAGCTCTCGTGATGGGCATTCACTTCTGGAGGCAAATTCAGTGGCTTGCATGGAAAACACAAATTACACTTGTTCCTGATCCACAGATCTCGGACAAAGAGGCCTAGAAGTGAAAATAATCTTAAGATCTGCTGAGGAAGTGAGAAGAAAGTCTGTGACATTAAGCAATGGGCATTGCAAGGAGCTCACTGATAAGCTAAAGGCCAAAATATTTGGCATCTGATGCACCAGCACCCCTTACACACGTTGGGGTTTATCTGCAGGGCTGTTAAATGCACCAGGAGTTCCATCCCTGACACAGGAGCAGGTGCTGATCACCTCCAAGTGTGAGATGAGATCTAGGAATATCTCATAAAAACATATTTTTAAGTGCTGCAGGATGACTCCAAGCTGCCCCTGGTGCAATTAAGGAGCAGTATCACAGCACGACTCATTGTGGTGCTTACAGGGCAGTGACATCACCGGGGCTTTGTAAAAACACCAATTAACCCTCTGGACAATGTGTCATTAGGGCTGTTTCACAGATGAAGCAACAGAGAGACAGCAAGAAAGATTTGTCCAAAGTTGCACAGCAAGGGAAGAGAAAAGTTCAAGAGTTTAAGGCTTCCAAGTTGGTTTTTTTTTGTCCACGTTAGGCCAGATTCTCCTCCTGTGTCCCCCTGGAGTTCTGAATTTATTGCTGTTGTTTCTGTGGTTCTGGTGGATAGGAAAAATTAAATATCTTCTTCTGCATTTGGTTTGCATTTTGGTTGGGAAATTTTTTTGGTCCTTTTTTTTCCTTGAATGTGCTGGAGACTGGTCAAAATCTCCTCGGCAAAACGGAGACCCTCCAACAGACGAGATGCGGATTTAAAGAGCTGTGAAGAACTTGGAGACTTCTGCTCTTATTTGGGGTAAATTCAGTGAGAAAACAGAATCATAGAACGGTTTGGGTTGGAAGGGACATTAAAGAGCATCTCATTCCACCCCCTGCCATGGGCAGGGACACCTTCCACTAGCCCAGGTTGCTCCAAGCTCCATCCAACCTGGCCTTGGACACTTCCAGGGATTTGGCAGCCACAGCTTCTCTGGGCAACCTGTGCCAGGGTTCACCCTCACAGGGAAGGATTTCTTCTGTACATCTGCCCTAAATTTCCCTTCTTTCAGTCTGAGCCCCTTCCCCTTTGTCCTGTCCCTCAAATTCCTGATGAAGAGTCCCTGGGAACATCCCTAAGCCAATGTGGCTCCTTCTGCTTCCAAACCATTCCCGTTCCATAACTCCCGGGGGTTCTCTGGGGACTCCTTTGGAGGGTTCCCGTTAGTGCTGAGCAGACAGGTCAGCCCAGGAATATTTGTGCTGTGAGGAGGGGGTTGTGGAAGTCACCTGGCAGCGTTTCTGTGCTTTGACTGACCCGTAAAGATTTTTGGGGGCGTGAAAAAAAAAATGAAACCCAAGTGATTAATAGCAAATCTTAAGAGTTTACAGGCTGAGAGTGGTGCTTTCTGTGTAAATAAACACACTCCAAACATCAGGGCCAACCCAGCCCCAGAGCACAAGGACATTTGTGGGTTCCCCAAATAATTTTCTGCAAGTTTGAATGAATCCAAAACAAATCACCTCTGCCATCCTTACATCAGATCACCTTTGGCGTCATGTACAGGCTACAAAATGGTCTCTTTTTTTAAAGCCAGGTCTTCTCTTCGGCCACAACACTTCCCTGAGGGTTCACCTGCAATTCAGGGAATTATCACTGTGCCCTTTTGAGTTTTTAAGTTGTTTTTTTTTCGGGTATAGAACCGTTCGTTCGCAATTCCCGACTCCGGGCACCGACGGAGCCGCTCTGCGAGAAGGTGAAGAAATCCTTCCGAGGTTTGCCGATGGAAAAAATCCAGGATGGCAGGTGAATTTAGCCCCCAAAAAGTATCCATTTGGAGAGGCCTGGCAGCTGACACAGCCACTTATGTAATAGGCAGTTTCAATTACTGATTCGCTAATGACTGTTTTGCCCTTGCGCAGTTTGGTCCCGGTTTCTTCATTCCCTCCTTCCTCGCTGCCACGCTGTGCTGCCTCTTCCTCTTGTTGACATCTGTTCCAGTCCCCAATAGGAAAAAGCTGAAGTTACTGGATTGATTGTCCCCAGGGAGTTGCTGCCCAGCACTGGGAGCCAGGAGGAGCCCTGCTTGCCCCGTTGCCAGAGGACAGGAGCCACAAGAACTGGCTGCCTCGTTTCCCAGGAGCTCGGAAAACTGCTTGGGGAAGATTTTGGCCTCGTTTGTGACGGAGTGATGGTATCTGTGAGTCCAGGATGGTTGCATCTTGCATGTCCACAGAGCAAGAAGGCTTTGCTGGCGTTCTCCAACCCCTGCCAGTCCTAATTGCCTCAGCATTCCTACAGATCCTGCATCTGAGCTGGAGGAGGATCAAAAAAACCAGCCAGCAGGGTCTCAGCAGCCTGAGAGTCTCTGAGGGGTGACAGGTCTGACGTGGGGGCACGGCATCCATGAAGACCCGTGACTAAAGAAAGGAGCCCCGAGAACAGGAAGAGAAAGAGAGAAGCAGGGGTGTTATCCCAGAGGGATGACAGGAGCAGCCCCAGCCATCTTACTCAGGAAGGTGAGTGAGTGGAAATGAATGCTTGGTCATCCCAGGAGCCAGCAGGGCTTTGCTGCTGAGCCTGGATTTTAACCTTCTGCTGGAGGCTGGACCAAGGGCAGGGCTGACGTGGGGCCTCTGCAGAGCAGGGCTGTAATTAAGGAATATTCCAGTGGCTGGTGAGTAGCAGAACGTGCATGTGCTCATTGCTGGGACTGCTGGGCTTCCTAGGCATGTGTTGGAGAGCTTTAGTCTTCCTAACTCAGGCACTGCTGGGGCTAAAACCATGGCACAGGGAGCCCAGCACAGGTTAAGGAGTGTTTACCTACTGCCTGGAGCAGGTTTGGCAGCATTTGGAGCTGCTTTGGCAAAGGGACATGGAGATGACACCAGTGCTGTCCTGTTTCTGCAGGCACAGCTCGGTGGAGTTGCCAGACAGAGAGCCCTCAGCCACAGCTCAAAGCATCACACAGGCAAAGCAATTAATACCAGGATTCCCAGCAGGAATTTTGGTGAGCAGAGCTCCACACAGCTCCCAGGAGATGAGTAAAGCACCTGAAAACCAGAGTCAGTTCGGGAGCGTTTAGGGCAGGATCAGGAGGAGACATGAAGCAACGTTTGGAAGCTCTCCAGGGCAGGGACTGCCTTTGTTCTGCCTCTTGAATAGACTTGAATTCTGGTTTGGAAAAGATGACAAAGTGGTTTTGGATAGTAAGAACTGGGGGGGAAATGGAGGAGGCAGAGCCTGTTGCCTGCCAGTTCAAGCCCGTGCACAGCAGAGCCAACCAGCAAATGCAAAGAGGGATCACTGGGAGGCTCCTTTTCCCCTCGTTGCCCACAGAAGTTTGTCTGCCTTGGAGTGGGAGGAGGAGCAGACTGGCTTGTCCAGTGGCCGTGAAGAAAGGGCTGTGAGGGAGGTCCCACAAAACCAGAGCCAGGCAGCGCTGCTTTCAGAGGGATTTCAGAGAGGAAAACCAGGTTGCTGTCCTGTGGGATGAGAGAAAATGTGGGAGGAAGGTTTTGAGGGAGTAACCTGGAGCATTCCAGGAGGATAAAGGCCATTCATGCAGGAAACAAGCAAGATTTGCTAAAAATCGAGATGAAACCATAGATCTGCAGAGCCACTGAAGGCAGGGGGGTGCAGGATCTGCTCCATGTCCCTTCCTCTGCTGGAGGAAGTGGGGGCCAAGGGCTGCTTTTCTCAGCTCACAGGCTGAAGAACCACCCAGAGGAAAAAAGGGGATCTCTGGAAGAACAGAGGTGAGCTGAGGGATAAGAGAAAGTAATGAAACACTTGAGTGTGAGAGAGCACGAGAACATGGAACAAACGCACCCAGGGAGAAAGTTACTCCCAAGGACACTCGGGGTGGTTTGTGGACAGCAAATTACAGGGAGCCTGCAGTGTGGTGTGGCCCAGGGAAAGCTGCTGGAAGGGGGGATTTCATGGCTCACTTCAGTTGGCTCCTTGGCTTTGGGCCTCTCAGTGCAATCAATATTCAGCCAGCTGGGGAAGTCTGCAGGAAGGAGAAGCCAAAGTGAGCTCTGGTGGGATTTGCATCCCCCTCTCCACCTCCCTGCAATCCCGAGGCCTCACAGGCCCACGGACACTGAGACGCCTCATTTTGGACATTTACCACGACCAAATATTAAAATTTGGACCAAATATGAATATTTGAGCTCCAGGCACAGCAAGGAGGACGCTGGAGATCATCACTGACCTTCTCCAGCTTCATCTCTGACTCTTTCCCTCAAGCCCCTACACAGGGAGCAGAATGTTTTTCACGTGCCCCAGCTGTGAGGAACTATTCAAGGATAAAACAACTGACCATTAGATTTCCCTCATTGCCTGAGTCCATTCCCCCAAGGAACATCAGTTCAATGAGTAACTTTTGCCTTTGTGAAGTGCCTCAAGTCTCCTCTCTGCCTGCAGGACTCTCTGGGCCTCTCCTCTTGCTCTGGGCTGTGCTGGTGTGAGACAGGCACAGATTCAAACTATTCATTTGTGTTTTAGCAGTCTGTCAAATAGGTGAAAATCATATTATCATCCATCTAAGCCTATATAATATATATAATAATAAGGGCCAAGGGTGGATTTTGGACAGTCCTTACAACGTGTGAAAGCCACGGACAAGCTCACAAGCAAAATGACAGAAATTCCTTATTTTCTTTGCCTCTGTGAATTAAATGGGGATGATTCCATTAATACCAACAGGAGCATCAGTATTCCATTAATAATATCCAACCTTCAATTAACTGGAATAGCAATATGCCATTAATACCAATATTCCATTAATACCAATATGCCATTAATACCAATATGCCATTCTAACCAATATTCCATTAATATCAATATCCCATTAATATCCACAATTAAATTAATGCCAACCATTAAAAAACCCCCAGTGTGGGAAGCATCTTTCTGTGTGTAACATGTCCAGAGGGTGTTTTCAGCCAGTGACATTTTGCTGCTGCACAGGACATACAATGAACTTACTCCTTCCCTTCCCTCCCTCCACTACTCCAAGCAGTAATGAACATTTTCTGCCTTACTCAGAATAATTAGAGCCCAGCCTTTGTGCAAGCCCAAAGGACTTTCTCAGGGCTGTTATCTCCATAATCTGTATTTTGAAAGAAACGCCGAGTTTTTAAGCAGAGAAAGACTTTCCCCCCCCCTTTCTCCTCCCAGTTGGGGCTCCAGGATGGCAGAGGAGCAGGTGCCAGCAGAGCTGGTGTCTTGCTGGAGGGAAAATGTCCTCTGCTCATCCAGTTCTTCCCCGTTTCCTGCAGGAAAAAGCCCCGGCTGGCTCAGAAAGGGGTTGTTGTGATGTGTTGCCAGAGAATCTCTGCACCAGGGCCTGCAGCCATAATGAGGCAACAGAAGTTGTCTTGTGTCTGTTGGTTGTGCAAGAATCTCATTGTCAAGGATTTATTGTTGCCATTTTCTATTGCACAAGAGAAAATGAGGAGAGAAGGAAGGGTGGGGGACGAAGGCATGGACGTGACAGAATTAGGTTTGCAGTGTCCTGAGTTTTTTTTTTAATGAGAATTTAAATAATTACTTCATCAGCCAGTGACAAGTGACTGTAGCTGTTCATTCAGGAGCCAACTGCATTTCTTTTTCAATCAAAAGTGTCATTTTTACACTTCAAAATAACTGGCTTTTTCTAAAATCTAAACCATGTTCCATATATGTTTCGTGGCATTTCCTGTTAATACCAAAGATAAAGGGGGTAGAACCCAGTAAAAACAGCTGGTTAAGAGGATTCACATCTTTCAGAATAATCATTTCAAAATCTGAGATGAACATTCTACGTGCTTTGGTTTTCTAAAACAGCACCATCCTTGTCCCTTTTGCTGATTCGGGATATTTTTTGTGACTGATGGTCTCTGGCATCTTTCTGGATCTTTAGTTTAAGCTCCTGAGTGAATCTACGTTGTCCAAAGTGTAAATAGGATTGAAATCAGCCCAAATCAGAAGAGTGTGTTTCCCTTCATCTTCGTCCTCTCTCTCCCTTCTCTTTGAATCCAATTTCACAAGGAATTCCAGTCGTATTTCACAACTTCCAGCGTGAGGGAAAATCCAGTTCTAGACAGATTTGGAAGGCAGGCAGGAGCTCTGCTGGGCTGATTTGGGGCTCTAAACATTCCTTTTATCCAGAGTATTAATATTTCCTTATCACAAGCTTCTCACAAACCCTTTGCAGAGCTGTTTTCCTTGCAGGCAGGTGTTGGAATTAATCATGCAAACAATCCAAGGCTCTTGTGTTTGAGCTCTCCCAGAGTCCTGAATCCACTTCTGCAAGGCTTAGCTGAGCAGGGTTCCCAAACCAGGCTGCTCTGACTTAAATTCTCGTGGTGGATTTAGTCCGTTCCCACGGGATAAACGGAATTTCCGAGCGGGGATGGGAGAGCCCCCGAGGGCTGAGCAGTGTTCTTGGAGAAGCAGGAAGGAATCCATGGCCACGTGTGCCTTGGGCTGAGTGGGTGCTCACTTCGATTACACTCAGGTATGTGATTCCTCAAGCACACCTGTGGAAACCTTTAATGGCTCCCAATTACCCCTTGGCATCGTGCGAGGCTCCGGAAACCATGGGAAGAAGGCAGAAAGCTACTTCCTTGCTGGGAAAGTCCAGAGTGGAAAGAACCTGGTGGTTATTTCCCCTGGATATTTGTAGGAATTAAGGCCACAAAGCCATTCTAATAATTGGGGAGAGGGGGGGAAATAAAAACAGGATGAAAACACCACCACCACTCAAACCAACCTTAACTAGAGCGTAACCTTCGTGTTAACTTGTTTGTCCAGTTCATTCACTTCCTATTATTCCCTGGATCATGCTTTGAATAATTTCCATGATCTGTTTCTTAAGTCCTGCCCCTTTTGATGTCATCAATTTGATCCATATAGGCTGGACAGCTCCCAATGTGTCTTCACTTAGAAATCGGGGAGCTTTGGACCAGGACTCGTCGTCTTCTGCTCAGGAAAAAGCCCAGGGCTGAGTTTAGTGGCTTCTCTAAACACTCAAAGATAGAATTTCTGCCAAGGTACAGTGGGGGGGTTGTGATTTGCTTGTTTTACTGTGTATTTCTGTGTATCTGTGCTGGATCTGTGGCTGTGGATACCTGTGCACGTGGTTAATTATTTGCCTCCACGACATTAATTAATCTGTGTTTGCTGTGTCGACCACTGAGTTGCTGTGAGGATCCAGGAGCATATTTTTGTTTGCCACTGATTTCTTATAACCTGCAGCCTTTTCCAGGCACTTCCCCCAGGCAGCTGGTTTTGTTAAATCCCAATTGTTGTGTTTAATAAATTAGTGGTGGGCTAATTTAGTGGTGGAGAGAATTGTGCTGCTGCCCGTACACACGTGCGTTCTGAAAGATTCCCTCTGGGTTCTTTTGCATTATCATATGGGTTTTTTTTTCATTCCAGTTATTTTAAGAATGCAGATTTGATTGGGCTGAACTAGCCATGGCTTTAAAAGCCCAGGCAGAAGGTCTGAAAACTGTGGGCTGTCTCTGAAAGCCAGGGTTTGACTCTTCAGAGCTTGATATTTTTTAGATTCGAAATTATACATCAAAAACCATGTTTGATAGATTCTTTTAGCATTCACTTTGGGTAACTATGGCCTCTTATTCTGCTTTTTCTCATGAGAGCAAGGCTGAGTAGTGAGATGGACGAGGAGTCTGAGCTTTCATCTCATCACAACAATTCTCCAGTTATTTGTGCCCTCCTTGTCTTCAGACCCTGTTCCTGTGTTTTTAAGGTTTTTATTTGGAGCTAAGGTTGGAGCAAAGTGTTGTCCTCAGTAAACTTCTGTTAATAGCATAATGGGCAGGTGATTCACAGAGTGCTGTAATGTTGGGAACTCACACCTTACAGGACCTGCTGTCATGTTCAGCCAGTGGAAGTCTGTCACCAGTGTCCCCAGCTGGCACTAGAACCCATGGAGGTGCCCTCAGACTAAAACTTGGGAGCAGAAATAATGTTCAACACAAAGGCTGAAATTCTCTGCAGTAGCACAGGAGATGTTTTACTTACTGGGACAAAGGAAAGGTGGATTCGGGTCTCTAGTTCTGCCACTCTTCTGGGTGATTTTCCATTTCTGTGCTTCCTTTTCCCTCCTGTAAAACAGAGAGAAGATTTTTAGATGCCTGAAGAAGATACTTATGAAAGAGAGAAGTGGCAAAATAGCTGTTAATAGCAGTAATATCTTCAGAAACAACCCCAGAGCATTTTATTTTAAATAGCATCTGCCATGCTTTGCCCACATCCTGGTTTGCTTCATCCCCTCTGTGCTTTCAGCTGAAGTGGTGTTTTTCTCCACTCTTTCCTAAGTACCAGAGTCTCAACTCTGAACTACTCTGGTTCATCTTGGAAGAGATTTCAGGGGTGGCAGAAATGATTATTTCACTCATCCTGATTTTTCTGCAGGATGAGTGATCGCACACAGGGCAAAAAAAAAACAAAAACCAGATTCTAATCTGCCCCTTTTGCTGACTTGAAAAGTGGGTTTATCCCAGTTCCTTGACACGAGGATGAAGGCACATGGCTGGTTCTGAGCCAGGCCCACGGGCCACAATATTCCACTCGTGGCAATGAACTGCAGATCTGTGTGAACACACAGTGGGATGACACTTCAGAATTAAATATTGGTTCTTAGAAAGAAGAAAACAAGCCACCCCTTTGGCTGCAGACTCCTGAGCAGGGTGTGCATTAGTCACCTTGGCTTTGCATGTCCACACTGACAGAGAAGTCATTTGTCAGTGTGGTCAAACACCTCCATTTCTTCACCAGCAGCACACAGAGGGCTTGACCTCTTTGCTAATTCCTGGTGTCTCTGCCCACACTTACTGACGGATTTTTCCAACAGCAAACTCCCCGGGGCCTGCTTGGAAAAATCCACAGATGGGTTTGGAAGAATCCACAGATGGGTTTGGAAGAATCCACAGAGGGATTTGGAAGAATCCACAGAGGGATTTGGAAGAATCCACAGAGGGATTTGGAAGAATCCACAGATGGGTTGTGGTCGTTCTCTAACAAGATTTTTTGGGGGGTCTCCTTCTTTCACAGAAAGACACGTAGAGGATGGAGCAGGGAGCGGCGAGGGAAGAAGGCAAGGAGGAAGGTTTGATCGAGTTCTATGACTCCTTCAAGGACATGTTTGAGTTCTTCTGCAAGAACACGACCATCCACGGCACCATCCGCCTCGTGTGCTCCGGCAGCAACAGGATGAAAACGGCCTTCTGGACCCTGCTCCTCCTGGCCAGCTTTGGGATGCTCTACTGGCAGTTTGCCCTCATGTTCAGCCAGTACTGGGCCTACCCCGTGGTCCTGACCATGTCCATGCACTCGGAGCCCAAGATGTTCCCAGCAATCACCATCTGCAACCTGGATCCCTACAGGTATCCTGGGCTTTCCTCTGGGCGGTCAGGAAGGGTCAGGGCCCCCCAAACTGCATCCCAAGGGGGGAGAGGGAGATCTCTGCCTCGCTCAGGGGAGGTGGAAAGGGATTGTTGTTATTTCCAAACTGGTTTCCAGATAAGATCTTGTCGGGAATTGTGCAAGAGCCGGATAAGATCTTGTTGGGAATTGTGTAGCAGTTAATTCCATCCGCTGACTCAGGAGAGAGGGAACTCTGCCTCGCTGTGAGCTGCTGGCTGATGCTGTGCTCTGATAAAAACAGCCTTTCCCTGAGAAACTGTGGCTGCTGTGCCTGCTCCTTCCTAACTAAACTCCTGATGTCTGGAATAACGTGTGTCAAAGCTGAGTCTCCTCATTTTGCGCTCCACGGAAGTGGAAAGAATGGAGTAAATAAGGCAAAAGTACAATTTGTGTGGAAGTCTGTGTGGCCCTGCTTGTCAGGCAAGGCTCACACAGCAGTGGCCAAGTTATCAAGAAGTTTCACATTACATAGTGAAGGAATTATGTAATTTCCTTGGAATAATTAGCTAGGTGGCTGACAGGAAGGCCAGTTTGTGCAGCTCAAGTTCTGAGCTTTGCAGTGGAGGATCCAACAACTGGAAATTCAGCTCCTGGAGCTCCTGATAAATTAATTTATTGGTGTGCTGAGCACAGGCACCATAACTGCTGGATATTCTCACACACATCAAGCTCTGCAGGGACCAGAACAGCCCTTCCAGAGGTGCTGAGAGCACATAAAATACAGTGCTTTTGTCTAAGGGAAATGTGAATATTGACAAAGAGCTGCTAACTGTGCTCCTGGCAGGTTTGAGCTGGTCAGTGAGCACTTGGTGCAGCTGGATCGCATGGCAGAGGAATCCATCACCTTCCTGTATGGCATCAACACCTCAGCCAGGTTATTCCACATGACTGATGGGAATATCCGTGTCAAGGACTTGTCCAGCATGGGGAACCTCAGCAGGTCGAGCTTCAAGCTGAGCCAAAACTTCTCCCTCCTGAGAACGACTGACCTGAGGTCAGGGAAGAAACATTCCAGTGTGGGCTTCAGGCTGGTGAGTGTGTCCTCCTTGAGGCTAAACCTGGCTCCAGACACAGACAGCAAGGACCTGCTGCTCCCCCAGGGACAGGGGGAGAGGGGGGAGTCCTCCAGCAGGGCAGGATGGGGGCCCACCCCAAAAAAAAGTGAGGAAAAACAAGCAGGGAAAACTCACAGGGGGTGTCCAGGTCCAACCAAGAGTCCAGCTCAGCAGGGAGGTTCCTGGTGGTGAGGCAGGTTTAAAGTCAGGATGTGAAATTAGGCATCAACAGGGTCCCTGATGGGGCAGGAGCCCAGCAAAACCCTTCACCACAACCTAAGAGAGGTTAAACTCTGCCTCAAGCCAGGCTTAAATAGACCCAGGGGCAGAGGGGGTGGGTGGAAGCCCCAGGTGAGGCTTTTCAGGGCCATTAAAGGTCTCACAAGGCACATTCAAAAATTAAAAAAAAAAGAGTGAAAAAATCGTTTCAGACAGATTGGAGGACAGAGGTTTTTTCCCTTGCCTCAGTCCATCCCTGTCCATCACTTTATGCTGATTGTGAGGGTTGTTGTGAAGTGAAAAAACAGCAACATCAGTGAATTGACCCAGCCCAGCTTGACAAGTTCCTCAGGGAATGACAGGAACAGGCTGTGGGAATCACTGCACCCCTTTCTAAAAGTACACAAAAGTACAGACTTGCAAAAATAGAGGTTTAGCAGGTGATCCTAGAAATAACAGAGCAGGATCCCTCAGTTCTCAGTGCTGTGCTACTGGAAATGCTGCAGATAAAACAAAATACAGCAGTAACAAATCCAGAGGGTGGATACAATAAATGTGTGTCTGTGGCCTTGGGAGAAAACACAAATCCTTCAGATTCTTCCTATCCAAACCTGGGTTAGTGTAGATCCAGGAATAGAAGCTTGGATTGGTGTGGCTGGAAAGTCCAGCAGTTTTTGCCTGGTTATTCTCACCCTGCCCTGTGCTGGAGTCCTGCACCAGGCAGACTTTCCCCAGAACCTGTGGGTGTTCCCCTGGCTGAGGCCTGAGTAAGACCAGAGAAAGTGTCCCAGGGCTCTGTTCATGATTCATGGGCTGTAGAGAATTCCCAGCAGCCCTGTCATTCCTTCTCCCAAGGTTCTGGAGTTCATTTCTCTGCTCCCTCCTCCTGCCTCTTGCCCTGAGCTCGCCTGATGCAGCTCCGGGGAGAGAAGCTGCTCACAAAACACAAGATGCTTCCAGAGGTTCCTTCCAGCCTCAGCCATTCTGGGAGAACTCAAATCATCAGAAACTTCACCTTCTGAAAAAAAAAAACCAGTTTCCCCTTATCCCTGTATCCAGTATTGCCTCTTCCCTGTGATCTTAGGGTGTCATGTGCTGGCTGTGCTGAATATTTCCTTCCTTTCCCTTCTCCCAGTGCAATGCCACGGGTGGGAATTGCTTCTACAAGACCTATTCCTCGGGGATGGATGCGATCCTTGAGTGGTACAGGTTCCACTACATGAATATCATGTCCCAGCTGCCGGTTATAATCAACATTTCTGACCACGAGGAGCAAATAGAAGACATGGTCTACTCCTGCCAGTACGATGGGGAGCCCTGCAGACCCAGGTGGGGCATAACTGGGATTTCCCTTCCCATATTCCCTCCTGTCCCTGCACACACACGAACAAAACACATCCTACACATCCTATTTATTGTTAAAAAATTAATTAAAACCCCCTCAACACCTCTCTTCGTTCCAGTGACTATGTCCACTTTCACCACCCTGTTTTTGGGAGCTGCTACACTTTTAACAGCAAGGGGACAGACCCTTTTTGGACAGCTACAAAGCCAGGAATTCCTTATGGTATGTTATTTGGGTGGGGGAAAAGAGCTAAAGTTAATATAATTAATATGGATTAATATGTCTTCTGTTCTGATGTATTCAGCCCTCTCTTCTGGTCTGGTGGCACAAATTCTTTGCTTGTGATAAGTCATATCAGCCCTAACTTACAGCAAGCAGAATGTTATCTTTGTTTTCAGAGTGTTATTACAGTCATTGTTGCAGTATGTTATATTATTTTGCAGCATATGATGGTATTATTGCAGTATTTGATGGTATTATTGCAGTATTTTATGGTATTATTGCAGTATTTGATGGCATTAGGGCAGTATTTTATGGTATTAGGGCAGTATTTTATGACATTAGGGCAGTATTTTATGGTATTAGGGCAGTATTTTATGACATTAGGGCAGTTTTGGAACAGGCTGGTGCAATTCTACCTGACCCCTGTCCAGGTCTCTCAGGGCAAAGAATGGCTCTTCTGCCAGCTAAACCAGCAGTTTGGTCAGTGCTGAGAATTCCAGATGTGCTGGTGGTGTTATCTGGGCCCAGAGCAGGCTGTGATGTGCTCCCTTCTCCTTGGCTTGCAGGCCTTTCCCTGATCCTGAGGGCGGAGCAGAAGGATCACATCCCGCTGCTGTCCACGGTGGCGGGAGTGAAGGTGATGATCCACAACCACAACCAGACCCCCTTCCTTGAGCACGAAGGCTTTGACATCAGACCAGGCATTGCCACCACCATTGGCATCCAGCAGGTTGGCCACTGGCTCCAGAGCTTTGTTCCTCCTTCTTTTTGTGGAGCTGGGAAGAGCTGGCACCCCCTGACCCACACAACGTGTCCCCTCCTTGCCTTGCTGTATATTTATTTACACAACCCCCTTTTCTCTCTTTGCTGTGCTCAGGCTCCCATGGGTAAAACAAAAATTATTCCAAATGTGGCCTTTTTTTGTCCTCAGACTGGGGCCTGATGTGTTTTTACACCAAGACTTTTGCACCTCTTCAGTCCCATTCCAGCTCTGCACCTGGTGCAATATTGGGATGAGAAATTATGGAAGTGGTTTGGTTTTTTTGGACAGGAGGAGTTGCTGCCTGTCAGCTGAACCACAGTGGCTAAATACTAAATCAGGGGAGATTTGGGTTGGGTATCAGTGAAAGGTTCTTCCCCCAGAGGGTGGTTGGCACTGACCAGGCTCCCCAGGGTTTGGGCACAGCCCCAAGGCTGCCAGAGCTCCAGGAGGGTTTGGACAATGCTCTGAGGGACAGGGTGGGATTGTTGGGGTGTCTGTGCAGGGCCAGGGGTTGGACTGGATGACCTTTGTGTGTCCAGCTCAGGATATTCTGTGATTCTATGACTGAACTCTCCCACTTCTGCCCTGATACTTTATATTTATCACCAAAGTGTAGCTTTGCTGCTCTTATACCTCACTGGACATCCTGTGCCGTCCTGCTCCCTGCACTGAGGTTTGGGTGGTGATGGCTGTGCCCAATTAACGCTGCTAATCACTCTTTTGTGTGTCCACAGGATGAGGTGAATCGCCTGGGTGGCAATTATGGGAAGTGCACAACTAATGGGGATGATGTGGATGTGAAGCTGCTGTACAACAACTCCTACACCCTGCAGGTACCGTGGGAGTGCTGGCTGAGCCCCAGCTGAGCACACACAGCTCATCCCTCCCTCTCCAGAGAGCTCCTCTGAGTCAGCAGCTTCACTGCTGGAGAGAACAGAGGTTCCTGCCCCTCCAAAAGGAGCTCCCAACCAGGGTGTTATCACTTGAAATGTGTTTGACTGAGGGGGGAAAAATCAGTGCCAAACACTGGGGCTGTTCCCTCCTTCTGACCTGAGGGAGATCAGGCCAGTCAAGGCTGTCCTGCTGCTCTGGTGGGATGTTCTTGGGCCATCAGGTCTTTATTTGTGTCAGTAGTTGCTCCTGGCTCGAGTTTTTTCTGGCTGTTTAACTCGGATGTTTCTGGGCATAATGAACAAGAGAGCTGGGAAGATTCCATCTCCCAGAATGTAAAATCAAGGAATGAGAAGTGAAACCCTTCACATCATCATGGTTGGGTGTCTTTTTGCAGTGACAAAACCTGGACCTTGTCTCCTGAGAGCTGCATCCTCCACGCTGGAGGTTTGGGCACCTGAGAATTCCTGGGTTACCCGACCTCTTTTTGCCTTCTTTATTTTCCAGGCTTGTTTGCATTCCTGCTTCCAGCACATCATGGTTCAGAAGTGTGGCTGTGGCTATTACTACTACCCCCTGCCCCCTGGGGCTGAGTACTGTGACTACAACAAGCAGCCTGCCTGGGGTAAGAGCCAGGGACTGCTGGCTTGTCCCCTTTGGAGAAGGGAACACCCTCCTGCAGCCCTCCCTGGTTTTGGGACTCCTTGGATCACTCCTGCTTAGATGGACTCATGGAATCCCAGAGGGGACCCACAAGGATCATCCAGCCCAGCTCCTGGCCCTGCACAGCACATCCCAACACTCCCACCACGTGCCTGAGAGCGTTGTCCAAATGCTCCCTGAATCCCTGAATCCAGTGGGTGACAGGCACCTGCCTGGGTTATTCATGGATATCGAGCTGGTGATAAAAACTCCTTATTAAGGACATTCATAGAGGGTCAAACTCCTTCATCTTCTCAACACTGGTGGCTGTGCTGGTGTGAGAAATACATGGATGAAACTCTTCCCTGGGAGGGTGGGGAGGCTCTGGCACAGCTGTGGCTGCCCCAAATCCCTGAGAGTGTCCAAAGCCAGGTTGGAGCAACCTGGGATAGCGGAAGGTGTCCCTTCCCAACCCAAACCTTCTGTGATTCCATGATTCTGGGACAAAGCTTTGAATGAACCTTCCTGGTTTCCTGGTGGCCCCCCCTCAGCAGACCCTCACCTGCACTTCCAGGGGGTGAACCTCCTCTGGAACCATTCCAAAGGGAGAGGAAGCAGCTGAGAGTGTGTTCCTTCCATTCCTTTCCCCAGGGCACTGCTTTTACCAGCTCTACAACAGGCTCAGAAATCACCACCTGAACTGCTTCGACCAGTGCCCCAAACCCTGCAGGTGGGTCCCAAAAACAGAGCTCAGAAATGCCAGCTTGGAGGGGGAACTGAGTGGAAAATTTCTGCATCAACTGGCTTTTTCTGAGCCAGAAAGGTTTCAGTGTGATGTTTGAACCCCAGTGCTGGGAAAGGGAAAAGATGGCATTAGGCCATTAATTAAATTAAATTAAAGAAGAACTTTGTATGTCCCTGACAGCAAGGAGGGGAAGAAATAGTTTTAATCACACTACAGTGTTTTATTAAAGCCCAAGCCAAGCTATTTTGTGTCATTTCTCAACCTTTATCACTTTATTTTCACCTTTTTTATTGGGGGTCAGTTTCAAAATGGAAAGACGTGTTTTAAAGCAAAATATTTTCATTTTGAATGTATCAAAGAAAAGCTACCACCCTTTTGAAACCATTCTAGTTTTCCTCCTGACCTGAACAGTTTTTCAGGCAGCCTCTGGTTTTATTTTCTAAGGTGCCTTAGAGAGCTTTTTCCAAGGACCTCAGGAGCTTTCCCATGACTTCTGCTTTGGGCACTAGTTGGGATTGTTAAACTCCTTCGTGGCAGGAGTCATTGTGATCATAATCTCCTCTTTTATCTCCCCAGGGAATCCCTGTACAAGGTGTCTGCTGGGACAGCAAAGTGGCCATCAGCAAAGTCTCAGGTACTGCCCCTGTGAGTTTTGGGGGGATTCTGCCCCTGCTGTGGCTGTTGAACAGTAAAATCAAGGGTGGAAACAATGACTTGGGTGGCAGCAAACAAAGCAAACTGGTCTAAAGTCTGGGAGTGACCTTGTAGTTAAATTAAATAATATAATCCTCGAGTGGTTTGGGTTGGAAGGGACCTTAAGTATCACTTGGTTCCTCCCCCTGCCATGGGAAGGGGCACCTTCCACTAGCCCAGGGTGCTCCAAGCTGCCAGACTCAGATGCTGGAGAGGTTCAGTCAATCCCTGATCTATCCCAAACTTCCCTGTGACCTTAAGCAACCTCCCTGCCTCAGTTCCCACCTCCAAAGTGGGGTTAATGACTCTGCTCCCAGTGGGAGTTGTGGGGTGACAACTCAGGTGCTGCAGGGCTGCACTGGAGCCTCTGTGAGTCAGCAGAGGACTGTTTCTCATGTTCTGATGGTAAATGGCCAGGTCATTCATTCCTGCAGGTGATAATGGAAGTGTAAAATCAACCAGTGCATTTTAAAAGAGGAAATTATCTGGTGGGGTTGCCCATCAAAGCAGAATAATGAACCAGAATGTTTTGCACACCTAAAACATCAGCGTGTATTTCCCTGATATTCTGGCAAATGTGGCTGGTGCTTGATAGCCATCACTGTGTGTTATAAATCAGCCTATTACATCAGTTTTTAGTATTTTTCATAGCCATTTGATTGCTAAAAATCTACATAGAAAACACAGAAAAGCTCCATAGGCAGGGCTGCCACTAACACCCATCTTTGCTGCAGGACTGGGTCCGCCAGGCTCTGAGGCACCAGAACGGATACAACTCCACCAGCAACAGGTTAGTCCCTGTTAAAAACTCTGGATTAACTCTTCACCCTCCCAGAATTTGTAGATGGTAAGGCTGGAAAGGGAGGACCAGAGGAAAAAAATGTGCAGGGTCATCCAATAAACTTCCATCTCTCCTCACAACGCTGGGAGATGTTGACTCCCGGGAGCTTTTTCCGTGTCGAACTCCCTCAGGAGGAAGGTCTGTGGGTGTGGGGGCACCTCTCTTGCCTGGGAATCAGCAAGTCAAACCAGCAGGTGAATGCCAGGGGGTGTCCCACCGTTCCTGACTGCTCCCTCTCTCCCATCCAGGAGGGACATTGCCAAGGTGACCATCTTCTACCAGCAGCTCAACTACCAGTCTGTGAACGAGTCTCCTCTGCTCTCAGTAGGTTCCACCCCGTCAGCTCCAAACCCTGTGCCCTGTCATTAGTTTTGGGGTGTCAGGATGGCTGGAGGGAGGGTTATTTACAGCTGCCAGCATGGGAATATTCTCCTTAGGGAAGAGACTGTGAGTTTTTTCCCATTTTACACCTAATTCCCTCCCCGGATGGCAGCGCCGAACTGACCTGCTGGCAACGGGCAAAGATTTCCTGTTCCCAGGTTGATAAACACAACCCTCTGACTCTTCCCACAGGAGAACCTGCTGCTGTCCAGCATGGGGAGCCAGTGGAGCCTCTGGTTTGGCTCCTCAGTGCTGTCTGTGGTTGAGATGTTTGAGCTGCTCATCGACACCCTGGTCCTGTCTCTCCTCTTCTGCTACCAAAGGCTCAGGTCCAAGAAGACCCTGAGAGTGGCTCACACTGCCACTGTCCCCAGCGTGAGCCTGGCCCTGGAGAACTACAGAGTTGTGCAGGAAGAGGCTAGGAAAGGGGAGGATTCTGCTCAGGGTCCCCCCTCTGGGGTGGCTGTTGCCAGGGCCAGCAGTGGGGACCTGCCCCTTCACCCTCCCTCCAGCAAGGGGGGAATGGCTGAGAGCTGCCCTGAGGTGGTGCTGGGGGGGTTTAGGGACACACAGGACAGCAGTTTGGGAGGGGAACTGAAGAGCTGAGGGGGTGTCTGTGTGCCTGGAGAAGTGGGAGACTGGGAACTCCTCTGCTGCTGCCAGGAAGGTGCCAAACAGAGACATCCTGGATCGACGGCCTGGGAGAGCCTCCACACCTCCCTGGGCCTGGAAATCCTCCTCCAGCTGCTGCAGGTTCCCTGCTAACCCATCCATGAGACCTGGATCCAGGGTTAGTGGATCCTGAGGAGCCTCTGGGGAGGGCAGAGCTGCACTTCTGCTCTTGGGACAGTCCTTGAGTTCCCTCACAAAAGCCTGTTCACAGCTCCTAATTTCTGAACCCCTGGGAGGAAACCAGCCTGTGGCTTCAGGCAGGCCCATCTACATTTCACAGACGTGCTCCAGCCTGGCTGTTCATGGAAAGAATTCCAGTGGAGGCCAAGGATTGCCTGGTCCAGTGGAAGGTGCCCCTGCCCGTGGCAGGGGGTTGGAAGGAGATGAGCTTTGAGGTCCCTTCCAGCCCAAACCATTCCAGGATTCCATGATTCACATCCAGGCTTGTCACAAGGACGACAGAGCTTGTAACAGGCTCTGATTCCAGCTTGGCTTCCAAGACACCTCCTGTCCTGAGCCTGTTCCTGTTGCATTTTGAGGCCAAGGCACAGGATGCTGCTGCTGAGATGCTTTTAGACTCACCCCAGACGATTTCAAACGAGACTGGCTCTCCCTCAGAGGGCAAAAGAAGAGAAGAAATGGGGTTGATACCTTTTTCAGGTGAAAAAGCATCTGATTTCTGTAGAAGATTAAACAGTGCTGCGTTTTTGTTGCAGCCCATTTATAAACAGAGATGGTTTCATGTTAATATTTGACAGTAACTTATATGTACATAAAATAACACGTTTATTTTTGATGCTGACGTTTGCACAGGAGCATTTTACTCTGTTATAACCTTGTTTGTGACTTTCTGCAGAAAACGAGAGTTAACAAGAAATCCACGAGCTTTGTTTTGTAACTTTTTTTAAAGAATAAAATGCTCTGACTACAGACTGTGACTGAGGGTTTAGTTTGACTTTGTTTTGCCTTCAACTGATATTTGATTCAATTTATATGGGGTCCTTGTTGCCTAATTGTTATTTCTGGAAACACCTTCTTCAAAAGGTCCAGAAGCTTAAATTTATAAGGGCCAAATCATGGGAAGAGTTTTGCTTCCAGACAGGGAGGTGGAATCCTCCCAGCCAAGTACCAACATGGTTTTGAAAGCCTCAGTTTTGCTTGATTTGCTTAATACTGGTCTCAGTGTACTAGAAAAACCACTGCATCTTGTAACATAATTTCCAGAAGGAGCCAAGTTTGGGAGAAAGGATCAAATCCTCTGTCCAAAGGTCCCAGCAGGACCAGAGATCAAGTGGTGACATCTTGTCTCGTGCTCAGATTGGGCACAGGAGGGATGTGCCAACACAGAAGACAGGGATGGGGAAAAATCTGCTTCCCACCTGCTGGTGCCACCTTTAGTAGGATCAAATGGTTTCTGTGGGAGCCCAGGAACAGGGATCAGGTGTGGAGGGAGCTCAGCTCACTCTCTGCTGAGGGTGGGGATCAATTTTCAGCTTAGCAGGTTCCTCTTTATTACAGAACATCCCTCAGCCCTGCTGCAGTTGGGAAATCACCTCCCAAATTCCGCACTGGGGTCATCCCTCCGTGCCTGTGATGTCAGTGCTGAAATATGTGGAGCTCTCACACCTGAGCTGGGCTTTTCCAAAAAATCGAGGCCCAAAAGGGGGTCAGTCGTGCTCAGAATCACATGAGCACATTTTATTCACATGACATATTCAAATCACATATTTATTCACACGACTGTGAATAAATCCAGTGCCAGCTCCCTGCTCCAGTGCCAGGCTGGGCTCTGCTGGCCCCCAGAGCTTGTTGCTGGAGCAGAACAAGCTGCTGAAGGGCACCAGCAGATAAGAACAGCCCTCTGGGGCAGCAAAGCCCCAGAGTTCAGGTGTCCCAGCGACGATTCCACGACGAATCTCCCCGTGCAGGAATGGTTTTTATGCTGCAGTTCTGGGGGTAATTAGGCACCAGCATCCCAGCAGTGACTTCTTTGCTTCTCCAGCTGCTGCTTGACCGTTCTGAGGCAATTTTGGAGCTGCTGAGCTCATTTTTACCTGGGGGTGAACCCACGTAGCCACAGGGGGAGAGATAAGCGAAGGATCCCAGGTATTCAGTGAAGACCTTTAGTCTTTCAGGCAGAACTCCTGTGGCCCTTGTTTGACACAGGCAAGCAGTGTCACTGTCACCCACAGGCAGCAGGACAGAGAGCTGCTGTCAGGAGCTGATCATGTTGATAAAATCATGAATATATCCCTTGTGAGGTCACCAGTAAAACATTTGTCCTGGCACCACTGAGCTAAAACTCCAAGGACAAGAACCCTCCTGCTGGGGCAAAGTCCTCAGTCCCAGACTTTCCAAGATATTTCAGCATTTAATCCTCATTAACTAAAGGAAAAGAGTCTTTTGGAGAGCTGGGCTTCTGCAGTCACGTTTCAGTCTTGAGTGTGTTTATCCTTGGGAAGCTGTGTGAGGTTTTTTTAGCCAGGAAATAGCCAGGGAGGGGCAGTGGGAGTCAGTGAGAGGGTGGGAGCAAGCCAAGTATCTCCCAAACCCTGTGCTTATAAATTTACTGGAATATCACGCAGCTCTCCTTCCATAAATGCCTTAAAAATTACTGTAATGCTCCTATTTAACTCCTATTTAACTCCTCCACTGAGTTAATGAGCCTACCTGGATTCATTAATTGGGATCTATTTGTCCCTCCAGAGGAAAACAGAATTTATCCCACAATTTCCCTTTCTCCACTTGTTTTCCACACTGGGCAGGACAGAAACCACGAGGCCAGGCCAGTCTTGTCTTTTTTATTTTATTTGTCCTTCTTATTTTATTTTTTTCTGCCACAGACACACGGGATGGGAGAGCCCAAGGAGGGGGGAAAGGGTGGTCCATGTGCAGAAGGGATATTTCCATGGAGTGCAAGGTCTCCTGGGACAGAGTCAGGATCAAGGATTAACTGATTCAGGAGCTCAGGAGGCACCAGTGGGTGGGTTGGGGCAGGGGGGTGACCTGAGCCCTGTCAACCTTTACCCCAAAGCAGCCTGAAATCCCATCCTCACAAGACAAGAGTCACAGAAACCCAAACCAAAAATGCAGAGTATTCGTGTGGCATTCCAGGCTACTCAGCTGCCACACAGCTCAGCCCGTGGGCTGCAGAGGGAAAGGGAAACAGGTTAAAAGGGGGGTTTCCAGCTCCAGTTAATACAGGCAGCAAGGCAAGAAACCCTACATCAATAAATCAAGCAGAGGAGGAGGAGGGAAGGAGTTTATCTAGATTTTTATTGACAGTGCTTCAAGAGACCATAGAAGAGAAGGGAAGGGAGGAAGGGGGGGGAAAAAAGGCAGACACCACAGCAACAGTTTTAAAATTGTACAAAGATAATAACATAGAGAATATCTGGTTCCATGGTTACAGTTCAGTACAGGCTGTGTAGGGAAAGGGGGGGGGATTAAAAAACCTGTTACAAAGTTGTACCGAAAGCAGGCAAGTGAAGGGAGGAGGTTAATAAGGTTACAGCTTTATTTACAGCAAGTGGCACAGCCCCGGGGCCACCAACCACTCTGAGCAGCTCTGGCCTGGCTACAGGACTCCTTTGTCCCTGCAGGACTCCTTTGTCCCTGTGCTGTTGGGAGAGGAAGGTTTGGGAGCCCCGGGAAGGGGCTGCCAGGAGGGCGACCCTGCGGAAGGAAAGGCTGGAGCAATTCCCGGGATCCAGCACCCCCAGGGCGGGGAATCCACACCAACACTGCGTGCTGTGGGATGGGTGGAAGTCAACTGAGAGGTCCACAGAGCCATGGACAACCTGAGGGATGCCACAGGTCACCTATGGGAGCAGGAGGACACGGAACCCAAACGTGCCCTGTCCTGGCCCCCGCGGGGAGGAAGGTGCTCAGTGCTGGGTTTGTGGAGCAAATGCTCCTGCTCCAGAAATCCTCTCTGCCCATCCCAACTGCTGCACTGGGAGCACTCGTGGTCCTCCTCGTGCCTTGGGAATTCCCCTGGCTCCAACCCTTTGGCTCCTGGTTCCCTCCCCACAACCATTCTCTGCCCTGTCTTCCCACCAGCACAGCTCAGGACGGGTGTGACCCCAGCCCAAATTCCCAGCAGGGTGTGACCCCAGCCCAAATTCCCAGCAGGCAGACTGCTGTGAGCCCTGTTCCTATGGAAACAGCGCTCCTGTATTTTGGAATCTCAAAAAAAAAAACAAACAAACAACCAAAAACCACCCCAAAAAGGTGTTTGTCCAGAACTCCCCCTCTCCCTTCTGCTGCTCAGTCCCTCCTTCCCACGCCCCCCTCTCCATGTGACAGCCCCACACTCACACACACTTCACGGGGGTGTTTGTCACCAGCTAAGCCGCGGTTGAATGTCACCTTTCAGCCTGTTTTGTCTTTGGTTGAAAGCAAGAATGCTCGGGCAGTGAGGGGACACGTGGGCTGGGGACAGCCCAGGGGCCTGGCAGGGACCAGCCACGTCGTGGCCACTGGACAGGGAGTTCATCAGTGCATTTCTTTAGGAGGTCCTGGGGGGTTTTTTCTTGCATAAATAACGGCCAGTTTTGCTGCTCTGAGATGTTTACTGATCTAGTTCTTCAAAAAATCATCTGTTCAACCCTCTCTTCAAACCTGCAGGATCATCCACTCAGTGACCTCAGAGGTCTCTTCCAACCTCAGTGATTTTATTTTACACTCATCACAGCCTCAGCTTCTCCTATTTCTTTTTTTTGTTGTTGTTAAAGACATTCTTTAAATGCCTTTAAATTCTTCCAATTCCAGTTTTTCCCCCCCTCACTCCCCACTGCAGGGACCATCTCAGAGACAGCAACATTAAAATAACCTGAGGCTTCCCTGGATGAGAGGGAACACAAGAGGGGATCGTTTCAACTTGCCAGCAACCCTGAACTCATCCCACCTGGAATCAGGGACGTGTGTGGCAAGACCCCAAAGATTCAAACCTACCTGTCCAGGCACTTGGTTAAAGGGTTGGGTCAAATAAAAGCGAGGACAGGTAGAGAAATATTCACCCAGATGGTCAAAAACTCAAAGGATGAAGGATCCATGTGAAGTTTTGGGCCATGCCTGGCACGTTGCTTTCTAGACAAAGGCAAATCTCCTCGTGTTTATCTGTGGTTGCAACCAAGTCACCGTCAGAGAGAGAAAACAAACCTGCCCTCTTTGAAAAGAAACGAGAGTGGGGGGGAAAAAGAGCAATTCTGGCATTGAAATGTCTCAAAACAACAGAAATCCAGCTGTTCTGGAAGCAGGGAAACGAGAAAACACTGGATTTCTGGTTTCCCTGGAGCCTGGTGAGCCGTTTCCTTCGCTG